AGGAAGATCGGCCCTGAGCTAACATCTGCCAATCCTCCTCTTTTTTTGCTGAGGAAGACTGGCCCTGGGCTAACATCCATGCCCATCTTCCTCTACGTTATATGGGATGCCACCACAGCATGGCTTGACAAGCGGTGCGTCGGTGCGCGCCCGGGATCCAAACCGGCGAACCCCGGGCTGCTGCAGCGGAGTGCGTGCACTTAACTGCTTGCGCCACCGGGCCAGCCCCACTATCTAAATTATTTTAATTGTAGCTTAATTTATCTTAGAGTCTTGGTCTAGTCATTAGTCTAGTCTTGGAAGATTTTCTGTTTTAGAAAATATATAGGGTTTTAGGGTTGATTTACAGTTGGATCTAATTTTTGAAGCAAGAGTCCTCTAAGAGGTGATTCTTCCCATCCAAAGTTTTAGCAACCGAATGAATTAAATTGGGTAGATCTTAGAGAAGTAATGAAGAAGAAGAACTGAGGACTGAGAGTTTGAGAAGAACTGAAAGAATCAGAGGTTTTGTTCAGCTAGCTGGTTATTAGAGACTAAAATTTTTGAGGTATAGCCATTTTGGAACTGACAGCTTCTAAGTGGATGGAAAGATTGGAGGATGGGGGAGGAATTAGGGAGTGTTAATCTGTTGAAGGAGAGGGAATTTATACCTGCTCACTTTTTTTGTCTAAAATGGGGGGCAAAGTCATTTGTTGAGAGTGAGTGGGGAGTGGTAGGTATAGAAAGGGTAATTGAAACGAATGATAAATGTTTGGAACAGCTACTGTGGGGACTAGAAGGCAGGACAGATCAGGGCTTGTAGGAGCTTATTCCAGCCGTGTTAAGAGCCCATCTCAAGTTGGAGTCTATGAATTTTTAGTGCCATCAGATAGGAGGATAGCAGATGGATTGTTGGAGTGAACCTGTATTAGGAATTTCTTATGTGGGTAGATGAATATATGCCTGGGATTGGCAAACTTGTTCTGTAAAGGGCCAGATAATATTTTAGGCTTTCATATGATTTCTGTCACAGCTATCCAGTGCTGCCATTGTAGCATGAAAGCAGCCACAGATAATACGTAAATGGATGTGTGTGGCTGTATTCCAATAAAACTATTTACAAAAATAGGTGGCAGGCTGGATTTGGCCACCGTAGTATATACCATAGGTTAGGCTATATATGGCTTTACTGAAAATAGTATTTATGAAAGTATAAAATGAATGAGGTCTAAATTATCCATTTATGCAGATGACTGATAATGAATAACAACTTATTGCTAAATTAGTTGATTAATGAAAAAAAGTAGTCAGTAAAGGATTCAAGTCAAGATTCAAGTCAATCTTGAAAAAAAGGTAGACTGAGATGCCAGATTTCTTCTACATTTGTTTTCACTTTGAGTTAACTAGCTACTTTCCTGCCCTTTGAGAACATGTAGATTAGTGATTCTCAGCCATGACTGCCCAATATATTCAGCTGGAAAGCCCTGAAAAACTACTGATGCCTGGGTCTCACCCCTAGAGATTCTGGGGTAGTTGGTCTGAAGAGCAGCCTGGGTATCAGGATTTTTAAGAGCTCCCCAGCGGATTCTACAGCGCAGCTGAGGTTGAGAACCACTCACTTTTCATTCAGTGCTATGGGGCTCCAAGACTGGTGTAGGTTTGGTGTGGAAATTCAGGGTACAACAATTAATGGTGGGAATATGGTATAGCAGGCCATTTTAAACTAATGAATTTTTGGAGGCAGCTTTTCCAAATCATTAATATTGTTATTTGCTGAATTATCTTTGAGAGTACTTCTTTGATTTTTCTTTCTTTGTTGTATTTTCCATCTAGATTGAGTATGAGTTTATTTACTATAATGAGGCTAATGTTTCTTGCCTGTATTTTTTAATTTAACACACAGCATGTTTTATTGATGTTTGTTGGATATGGCTTCTGTTTTTGTTTCTTTGTTCAGTAGTTCAGTATAGGTATTAATGTTACATGTGATGATTAATTGAAGAAGAACTAATGAAAGTCTCTTTAAACTTAAACCAAAAAGGATTCTGAAGGTGATACCCCTCTTCATGATGCAATAAGTAAGAAACGTGATGACATCCTGGCAGTTCTTCTGGAAGCTGGAGCAGATGTTACCATTACAAACAATAATGGATTTAATGCTCTACACCATGCTGCACTAAGAGGAAATCCCAGGTAAAGATGTCACCTTTTACTATTTTATATGCAATTTAAAAATATTTTCCTATTGCTAGTTCTCTTTTTCTGATACTGATGAGGAGATAATTTTGGCTTATTGTAGTGTTTTAAATAGTTTTAAGGTCTGTGAAAATTATATCTTCATTAAATAGATTAGTTTTATGTGATGATATTTTGGTTGTAAAACTAATACAAGTTTTACAAAATGGCTATTTAAATATATATTAAATATGGATATAAAGTATCAGGAATACTTGCTTATCTTCTAAAGATTTAATTAAAATTCATTTTTTTGTTTCTTCAGGATCACTGTCAGGGGTACCCTCTAATCATGTTATCCATTTGCATAGTAATTATTTTTTTAAACTTGTGGCTAAATAACTATTAAGTTACCTAATTCCTTATTAATAATATAGTTATATAAACTTCTAGTATAGATGTTCTCCAACCTTTGATATAATAATAGGTGGTCTGCTGAGAAAAGCATTTGCTGGTTAAAGTTTAAGAAAGACTTTTGGGAAGTCATAGAATTCATAAAATATCTGGAAAGTCCCACAGAAAAGGAAAATGCTTAGCTTTGCTTAACCTAGAACTTTCCATGACTGAATGTTTTAGAATAACTTTACCTTGAGAAATATTTTAGAAAATTCTGCATTAGATGTCTTCTGTTGAATCAGCCTTACATGTCTTGACTGAAGGAAGTGTTCACTTTGGAATTTGCTTATTTATTTATTTATTTATTTGTGAGGAAGATCAGCCCTGAGCTAACATCTGATGCCAATCCTCTTTTTTTTTTTTTTTTTCCCTGAGGAAGAGTGGCTCTGAGCTAACATCCGTGCCCATCTTCCTCTACTTTATATGGGATACCGCCCCAGCATGGCTCCACAAGTAGTGCATCAGTGTGCGCCCGGGGTTCTGAACTGGTGAACCCCGGGCCGCCGCAGCGGAGTGTGCACTTAACCGCTTGCGCCACCGGGCTAGCCCCCTGGAGTTTTTGATAATTTAATCGATCCTGAATTTTTTTTAATTGAGATATAATTGACATATAACATTATATTAGTTTCCGGTGTGGAACATAATGGTTAGATATATGTATATATTGCAAAATGATCACCACAATAAGTCTAGTTAACATCCATCACCACACATACTGACAAATTTTTTGTGTGTTGAGAACTTTTAGGATCTAGTCTCTTAGCAACTTTCAAATATACAATACAGTATTATTAACTGTGGTCACCATGAATTCTTATTCTTTGGTTCCATATTGCATTTTTCTATCATGTTTCCTTCTGATTTTTTGCTATTTTTTAGCTTCTTAGGATCACCACTAGAGGGTGAGCACAGAGAACAAAAGGATTTTATTGCTTTTGCTTGTTGGTACCCATAAAAAGGGGTACACAATGTAGGATGAAATAAGTGACCATATTTTAGATTATGTCTTGATTTGTTTTTTCAAATTACAAGTATTTGAACACTTCACAACACTTGAAGTTGTGAAGGAGACAAAATAGTATCATATGTTCCCTGCCTTTCAAGTAGAAGATGATGATGGTAGCACTTACCACATGCCAGGCCTCTTCTGAGTGGTTTACATGCATTATCTCATTTAAGCCTTTGAATAGCTTTTTGAGGTAGGTGTTAATATCCTCATTTTATAGTTGAAAATGTGAGGCTTATAAAGAGATGACTTATTCAGGATCACACAGTTGACTAGTGGAGCAGCTGGAATTTGAGCAAGGTCTATCTGACTTTAGAATCGTAGTTCTTAAGCACTTTATATTACTTTTTCTGTATTATGGTCTATATGTGAGGCAAGACTGGAACACATGGACAGTGTGAATGATTTAACTAACAATGTGTTCATACGTCGCTCCCCATGCTCCTTCTTTGCTTAGGGTTATCTTTGACTACTCGCTCACTCATTCTGAACTTCCAATTAGTTCGAAAATTCCATTTACTCTACAAGTCTTTTCAGTCCATTCCATTCTTTCTATTTCCATCGTTGCTGACCTAAGTAGTCACCACTTTTACCTGGACCATTACAGTATCTTTCTAATTGTTCTCCCTCATTTCCGTCTTATCTCTGATTTTAACTTTCATACAATTACCAAATTATCATTCTAAAAGCGTGGATCTAATGACTCCCCTCTCCTGTTCCCAAATCCTCAGTTGCTTCCTATTGTACATAGAATAAAATCTGTACACCTTGACTTGGCATTCAGACTCAGTTCTGGTGTGTTCTGTGCCTGTCTTTCTAACTTTATCTCCCACTAATTAAAAGCCCTCTGCCCACCTTGCCCTTTAGCTACACTACACTACTCTTCTTTCCTAAGTCTGTCTGCTTTCTTCTTTCATTTATTTGAGCATTTTCTTCTATCAGGATGCCCTTATCCACCTTCTTTATCTTAACCATCTTTCTTCCAGAACTAGATCTCATCATTGAAATTATTTTCTATTTGCCCTATATTTCCTTGTCTGTGTTCTTATTTTATTGCACTTATAATCTGCTTTGTACTGTCCCTTAGTATGTGCATTTTTATGTTTCTTTCTTTTAAAATTGTGGGCCCTCATATTCATCTGTATGTTTCCCACAGTGCTTTCACTGTAGTAGGAACTCAATAAATGTTAGTCTTAATTTGACAGTCAGCACAGTGTTAATTATCACAAGAGTGTTTATATCAGTTACAAAATAAATTCTGTAGAGAAACTGTTAGGAGTTCAAACAGAGCAATTACTTCAGATTAGAATGGTCAAAAAGAGATTTTATTGAGGGAATTTAGATTACAGTATTAAATCATAAAGTTTAAGATAAACTGAAAATTGAAGTGTTTAGGAAATGAGTAACTTGCAAATATTTTGAATTGTTTTACTTTATTGGGAGTAGGTATAGTAGATTTAATAATGCCGAGTATATACAAGGGGGAGAAAATAGACTACTTTTGTTTCTTCAGTTTTTGAGAATTCCTCTGAAAATTTATAAAATGACTGCTCCAAGCAGATAATTGGTGTCAGATAACATTAAGAAAAAAGGAAGAAAACCATTTTCATTCTACAACAAAGTGGTGCTTCAATTAAAGCTACATGACTTCTTTGTTCCCATTTCCTTAAGACATTTTATGTAGATTGCCAGATAAAGAGTGTGATTTTAATTGGACACTAAAGAGTATCAGAAGATGACACAACTTATATATCAGTTGTAATTGCAAGTTGGGTTGTTTTGAGTTCTTTTTTCCTTATCAAATTTCTTATTCTTAAAATTGGCCCCTGTGCTAACCAGTGATGTCATAAGACAGAAGGAACCAATTCTGAGAAGTACTCAGAATTAAAAAAGTGTTTGGCTTTAACACTTATTTGTGAAAACCAGCTATAGTACATTTTTATTTCCAGAACCTGATGAACTTAGCATTTGTGGATAAAATATTAAATATGATTAACAAATGTGCTAACATTTTCTCTTTATAAGCATTTTATAATTTATATAACTTAATGACTTCATTACCTTGAATTATAACATTTTAATTTGTTCTTTGTGATCTTTGTTTTATATTGCAGTTATACTTCTTCAGTATTCTTGGCTTAACTGTTAGACTTTATGTATAGTCAATTTTAATCGCAGTTGATGGTGCTTTAGTTAGTATAATTCTTAGCTATTTTTTGAGTTTTTTAATTAGAATGTCTATATTTTTTCTACTGTAAAAATATTACCAGCACAAATATTTACTTAGAATTGTTTTGATTTATTATGGTTAGTAATATGGAAAAACTTGCAAAATTTGTATGTGCATGTGTACACATGTGGAATTTAAGTATTATTCTGTTCCCTAGCTTTGCTTTTAGTTAACAATAATAATTTTTCAGCAATAAGTCAGTAACACAGTAGAGTTAATAATTATTGGATTTGCTTTTCTAAAAGAAAATGTAATTTTGTCATCAAAAATATGTCTAGATGTCCTATATTTCTGAAGAATGTACTTTGAAATCTAGATTTCAAAGCTGCAGATCAATGGGGATTCCAGATTTTAAAGTTGATCTTGATGTTTCCTCATAATATGACACTAGCTGAAATAAAGACATTAAGAGAAAAGGAGTTGGGCGGGCCCCGTGGCTTAGCGGTTAAGTGCGCGCGCTCCGCTACTGGTGGCTGGGGTTC